TCCACTGGGATGGTTGAGCAAGAATTGCTTGCTTGGAGGTCAAAGTTGTAAGAAAGGAATAGGCGTAGTGGCACATGCCTTTAATCCCAGCACTCTGGAGGCCAAGGCAGGTGATCTATATGAGATAGAGGCCAGCCTGCTCTATATAGTGAGTTCCAAGCCAGCTGGGGCTACAGGGAGATTCTGCCACAAAAAAAAAAAAAAAAAAAAAAAAAAAAAAGAAAGAAAAAAGAAGGTAACTGGAGCATTGGACATCTTACTGCCATGAGAGCAAAGATGGAGATAACCCGAAGACTAAGTAAAACAGAGCTAAGAAAAGGAAACAGGGTATGCTTTGTGATTTTGTGAGCCTGGAGAAAACCATGCCTGAAGTCATCCAGTACAGATTATCCTGCTGAGCCAGTACATGGCCTTTTCTCTTTGCTGTTGTTGAGTTCATTTCTTCTCTGACCATACTCCCCCTAGAGGTAAGAAGTCCCCATCCTCTCAACACAAAACCAGATGCAAAGGAAGGGTGAGGCCAGACTGTGACTTCTAAGCCTCTGGGAACCCAGGCCCTCCAGAGCACATCAGATGCCCCCACTTGAAGGTGGGAGAGAAACCATACTGCCTGCTTCACAGCAATCTTGGGACAAGACCAAAAAATAGGCCTGAGGAAATGGCTTAGTGGGTAAATGTGACTGCCACCAAGACTGATTCCTGGTATCCACATGATAGAAGGAGAAAATTGTTCCTGCAAGTTGTTCTCTGGCTTTCACACAGGTGCTGTGTATGTGTGCACAAATGTTAAAAAAAATTTTTTTTAAAGGTTGAAGATAAGACCACTGCTAGCCAGGTGTGGTAGCACACACCTTTAATCCTAGCCCTCAGTAGGCAAAGGTAGGTAGATCTCTGTGAGGTCAAGGCCAGCCTCGTCTCCTTAGTGAGTTCCAGGCTATCTGGGGCTACTGGAAGATCCCATCTCAAGAAACTACAAACAGGACTAGAAAGATAGCTCAGTAGTTAAGTACACAGGCTGCTCTTCTAAAGGACCCAGGTTTGATTCCCAGCACCCACATGGCAGCTAACAACCCTCCATAACTCTAGTTCCAGGGAATCTGATGCCCTCTTCTGGCCTCTGTGGGGACTGCATGACATGGGTACACTTACAATCAGGCAAGACACTCATACACAAGAAATAAAAACAATAAATAAGCACAGGCCTTTAATCCCAGCACTTGGGAGGCAGAGGCAGGCTGATTTCTGTGAGTTCAAGGCCAGCCTGGTCTACACAGTGAGTTCCAGGACAGCTAGGGTTACAGGGAGACCCTGTCTCAAAAAGACTAAATAAATAAATAAATAAATAAATAAAATATTAAAAACAAACAAAAGACACCACTACTGGCATGAGGCCTAGAGGACAGCACAGAACTCCCTCCTCCCCACTGCTACCATTCTCTTGATTTCCCCCACACTGAACCCACAGCTTACCTGAGGCCTATGTTACCTAAGCCACTGCTCATGGGCAGTGCCATGTCTGGTTCACACTCAGTGAATACATGTCAGGTACTCACTACAGTTGGGCATTTTTTTTTTGGTGTTTTTGAGACAGGATCTCCCTGTAGCCCCAGCTGGCTTGGAACTCACTATGTAGACCAGGCTGGCTTCGAACTCACAGAGATCCACTTGCCTCTGCCTCCCAAGTGCTGGGATTAAAGGTGTGTGCCACCACACCCGGCTATAGTTGAGCATTTTAACAGTGTACTTTGCTCCCCAACCCCAAATTTAAAACAAATTATATAGGCCAGGTGTGGTGGTGCATGCCTTTAATCTCAGCACTTGGGAGGCAGAGGCAGGTTGAGTTTGAGGCCAGCCTGGCCTACATAGCCAGTTCCAAGTCAGCTGGGGCTACAGGGAGGCCTTATCTCAAAAAGACCAAAAAGGGGGCTAGAGAGATGGCTCAGCGGTTAAGAATTGATTGTTCTTGCAGAAGACCCGGGTTCAAATCCCAGCACCCACATGACAGCCAACAACTGTCTGTAACTCCAGTTCCTGGGACTCTGACAGCCTCTTCTGACCTCCTCAAGCATTGCACAACACGGGTGCACTTACCTACATGCAGGCAATACACATACACACATAAAATAAAAATAATAAATAAAAGATTTTTTTAAAAGACCAAAAAAGAATAAATAAATTTAAAAAGCAAATTACATATATTAAAACAAATTATATATACACACACATATATGTATAATATACTGCAAATTAGCTCTAGATGGTGAAGCAATCTGGATGAGGGGAAAAAACACAAGAAAGGCAAGAAGAATACAGGCTTGACTAGAATCCACGAAATGAAGAACTTCAAGATGAAGTTCTGGGTAAAAGAAGTGGTCCATGAATCATGTTTCTGAGAGTCCTGGTGGCAAGACAAAAAGGAAAACAGGATGGGCATGGTAGCACACACCTTCAATCTCAGCACTCAAGAGGCAGAGGCAGGAGGATCTATATGAGTTCGAGGCCTGCCTAGTCTACCATAGTGAATTCCAGACCAGCCAGGGCTACATGGTGAGATGAGAGAGAGAGAGAGAGAGAGAGAGAGAGAGAGAGAGAGAGAAGTCTAATGCAAAGCTGTGGTTTCTATTGGACTATCTGATCTATCCATTTCAAAACATGGCTTAGCCAGGAGTAGTGATACACACCTGAAATTCAGCACTTAGGATACAGAGACAGGAGGATCAGTTCAAGGTTATCCTCAATACATGGTGAATGAAGTCGGCCTGGGCTACACAAGACCCTGTCTCAAAAAGCCAAAGAAAAAAATCACAGATATCTAATATGGTGGTATGTCTGTCATCCCAGTAACTGGGAGGCTGAGGTGGGAGGATTGGGAATTCAAGACTAGACAGTGAGAACTTGTCTATAGGCAAGCTCTGAGTTATGCTACTATTACAAGTTTTGATGCTTAGGAGGAGTTTTCTGTGTGGAAGACAGTGTGCAGAGCTGCAGAACCCTGACAGGACTACTCCATGTAGCAGTTTAGATAGCGGGCTCAGGAGCCAGGGTATGGGGGTTGGTTTCAGTGGGGCAAGCTAAGTAATAGCTATAATCTATAATAATCTATAAACTGGTCAACACATGACAGCTGCCTAGGAAAGTCATGAGGATACATAAAGTCACAAATTTAAAGTTCTGGCACAAGTGCCTCAGAGTCAAGTTCTCAATGAATATTGGCTCTTGTTGTTATACATTGTTACAAATTTAATCTCAACTTTTCCCAACAATCCTAGAGTGGCTCTTTCTTCAATCGCAGATGGAAAAACAGAGGTCCAAGGCCAGTCTGTCAGTCCAGAGTGGTGAGGGCATGGTAACACTATCTGAGCAACTCTTCTTGCCTGACTGTCCAGTTTCAGGCAAGAATTCTTGGTAGATTCTACTCTGAATTTGGTAGGAACTATGAGTTGGCAGATTGAGTGGTAGGAGTCTCACAGGAGACTCCAGGCTCCAGCTGTGCATTAAACCTTGGGTCCAAGTGTACCAGTCTGGTCTCTGTGCCCAGCCCAACAGGATAGACCAAGGTTCACCCTCTGAGCTCTTTCCTCAATCTATCACAGGGCCAGCAGCTCTGAGTCACTGTTCTGGTTACCAGAAGGTAAACCAAAGATTAGACCTCTGCACAGCATCTGCATGAACCTGATGTGGCTGATGATATCCCACCCATCTCAGTGACCTGCCCAAGGCAACCTGGGAAGTTCACTGGGCTCTGGGCTGTGATGATCCAGGTCTGAGTAACAGGTCCATGGTCAAGGTCAGTTATCTTTGAGAGAATGGGAGGTAGAAAGTGGGGCTAAGAACCAAGGATGCCCAGGGTCTAAGGTTTTCCCAACAATTTACTTGGGTCCTTGGGTCCCTCAATGTCCTTGCCTGTCCTTGCTCACTTGGCAGTCCCCCTGTCTCCATGCCTTGGATGGTGAGAATTGTCCTCATGGTAGGTGGACTGTAAAATGTGCATAAGGACAGACTCCAACCGTTGGTTTGTTGCACTGACTAATCTTGCAATGCAAAAGAGCACCCAACACAGGCCAAATAACAGAGCAATGTTCACATGAACAACCATGGGCATAACCAGGGTCCTTCTTCACCACTGCCTTGGTATGTAAATTGAAAACAAATTCAACAGAAAAGCTCCCTGTGGTCTGCCCTTGCCATGGGCACTTTCTATGCCCAGAAACTGGTCCCGCTGAAATCAAGTGTCAGCTTGCCTCTGACTAGCTGTATGACGCTAGGCAAGTTATTATTCTTCTCTGAGTGGCTTCACAGGCAACTTGGGGACACACAACCCCATCCCAGCACACAGCGTCAGCATTGGCTTGACTGTGACTTTTTGGTGGAATGTGTTCAATCCTTGATTCCCCATCATCCCTATACTATTGCACTTTGCAGGATACAAAGTCCCTTCATTGCTCATACAGTGAGGATACCAGCCTAGGAACAGGTCATATTGGTGTCACCAGCTCTCAATATGCCACCCGAGAATCAACTCTCCACCCCTCTCCCTGCCTCAGACCCTGAGCCCCCTTCCAAGACACACGATCTTCTTTAGGGCATTCTTTCCAGGTGGAAGCTTTCCAGGAGTAAAAAATGGAAGCTTTAAAATCAAAATCGGGCCGGGTGTGGTGGTACATGCCTTTAACCCTAGCACTGAGAGGCAGAGGCAGGCAGATCTCTCGGAGACCCCAAGTCCAGCCTGGTCCACATAGCGAGTTCCAAGCCAGCTTGGGACTACAGGGAGACCCTGTCTCAAAAAGACGGGGGGGGGGGGATCGGCCTCGAGGACAGAACCACTGACCAATCAGCCTTCCACAGAGGAGCCGTCCAAGCCCACAGCTGAGAACCTGGAGCCTGTTGAGGCAATCCGCAGATGAACGATCTATAGGAACTACAATTTACAGCAGGACACGGTCGCGCGCGGCCCGCTGGGAGATGTAGTCCTGGACTGCTTCTGTGGGGCTGAGGACCGGCCTGGGAGTGTGGGCCTTTGCCCAGGCTGGCTTAAGGCCGTCGGATGTCTGTGCCAGCTGTCTCATCCTCTGTTCACTAAAGTCTGTTTCCTCTAAAGGGTCCTTGAAAGGCTACGGAGTCCTAATATTTTCCCTGTTTGACAGAAGAGGAAATGGAATCCACACTGGGCGCGGGTCGCAGAACAGTGAGGAGGCTACGGGATCCAGGCGCTTAGCCCCAGGACCCTGCGAGGGGGCGTGTGCGGACGGGGTGTGGGGACCCCCCCCCCCCCCCCGCTCGGCGATAGTGCGGCCCGCCGGGCCCCGAGTGCGCGGCAGGAAGGGGGCGGCGAACCCTGGAAGGTTCCACCACAGGCTCTGGGGGAGGGCGGCTTCGAGTCGCAGCCTGAGCGGGACCCAGCGGCCCCTGGAGCGACGCGTCCCCGACCCCCGCGGGTAGAGCCCAGCCGTGGTCCCAGGTAACGCCCCGGCGTGGGCCGCCAAGGGTGCGGCCCCGGCCACCAAGTAATGCGGAGCCTTCGGGAGGCCTCCGCCGCCCCGGTCGTCGCCTTGGCGGGCCCGCTAGGTCCAAGTACAGGTGCCCAGCGGAGTTCAAGTCCCTGCGAGCTCCGCGTAGTCGGTCCCAAGCGTTTTATCCACCAGGGCTCCGGAGTGGCTGTGATTCCCGGGAACAGAGCGTTAGCCCTGGACTGCCTTTACTACATTCGGGATGTCCTAACCCCGAGGAGTCGTTACTATCTCGGTCAGGAGCAAAGCTTCTGCTCTCTGAGTCCCACTAAGCTTGAGTGGTGCTAGTGCTGGGGGACTAGGGTGAACAAGAATTGAAGGGGGCGGGGGCGACACTTAGATGGAAGGAAGTCGGGGGTTCGCCTATCCAGGCACTGCACTGCTGCAGCCCCCAGTTTTCTTCTCAGGACAGAGGGGTCGCGCTTTCCGGTTCCACTGCAGGCTCTGAAGACTCCAGTTATGAAGAGAGGAACCCCCCCCACACACACACAAAGCGCACACGTGCAATTGCAGACACAGTGCCAGGGATTACACTGGTATCCCCGGATCTGCACACTCCTGGAGAGCCACTTGAAGAAGTAGATACTCTTCATCCTGTGTTACACCTGGACAAAAAGCCTCACAGAAGTTAGGGAAGTCCTCAAGGTCACAGAGCTACTAACAGGCAGAGCAGACTGCATTTAACAAAACGGTGTAGTCCTATCTTAGTAACCTTCAGCAATGAACAGTACTGGACACATCCTAGGTGCGAAGTAAGCATCCTCAGTCATTAAGGTTATTGTCCCCATTTTATCGATGACAGCCTGAGGCAGAGAGAAGCCAAAGAACTTAACCCAGTGTCTGAACCCAGAGTGCTGCATACGTGAGCCCAACGAACACCCATACTCCCCACCCCTCGCCCATCTGCACAGTTATTTGAAGAGAGGCAAAGCTTGGGGCTCAGATGTATCCAGCCCTGCCTTGAGCAAGAGAGGACTTGGGATGCGTCCTATTAACTCCCTCCCTGATGTGTGAGGCTCTGGGTTCCAATTTAACATTAGATGGTATTTGGGGAGGTCTAAGTCCCAACCTGCCTCCACAGGGCTGTGCTCTATATCCCAAGGTCCCAATCTCAAATCGTCTCAGTTCCATCCTGGGATGGTTGCTGTATCCTGCCTCTTTGGAGGAAGGAGTGGAGTACTTTCTGAACTGGAGAAATGAGGCGGCCAGCTGTCAGGTGGGAGCCCTGGCTGGGTAGGGCCCCTGCAGGAAAGGGTGACCACACCTTCTTCCTGCCTCAGCTTGCCTGAGTCCTGCTCATGCGCAGAGATGCCTAGAGGAGGAAGCTGGAATGCAGCAGCTAGCGCTTTCCACTTGAATCTGGCCGAGTCCCTCTTCAGCTCTTGGCTCCTGTGATGTGAAGCCACCTGCTAGGCCCTGGACTTTTTGTGGTCCTCTTCTGCCCCGGAGCTATCTGTGCAATTTCATGATTATGGTGGAGTAGCTGCTACCTGATCTGTAAAGTGGAGCAAACAGTAGCACCTGGCTCTTAGCACGTGAATTGATCTGGGTGGGAAACCTGAGGACCTTGCACAGACCCTCACAGCACAGTTGCTGGGGCAGAGGCAACCCTTGCTTTCTGGAGCCCATTGGGCCACCCTTCTGGGTTCTGTGGTGAGGGCAGTCACTTGTGACTTTTCTGTTCTGAGAGTAGACAGTATTTGCCTGCAGGGGGATGGGCTATGATGAGGAAGAGGCTCACAGTATGTGTGAGGGCCACACCCCCACTGGGATTTCAAAACATAGGATTTTGAAGAAAGTCCAAGTTGTCTAGCAGCCTGTTGAAAATTTGAAAACTTGGTAAAATTGTTCCTACCTTGTGCCCCATACTGTTTTGCATGTACCAAGGAAAGATTTTCAGGTTTGGAGATGTGTTTTTGGCCTTCATTCTCCAGGAGAGATTTACTGGGGGCCAGGCGCAGACTGGAAAGATCAACAAGAGAGCCATACATGAGAAAAGATGGGGCAGAGATTTCCTGACCAAGCAGAGACAACCCAGAGTGCTTTTGGGCGTCTGTCATCTGGTGGAAGCCAGGTAGGTCCTAGATAAATCTGGGTCCTGCTAGGAACTGCAGGATGGCCACATGGTGAGGACTCCACCTATTGAGATGCAATGTGATGATGGTTCTGTTGGGTCAGGAAGCCAGAATAAGCCAACATGTCAGGAAAGGCACAAGGAGGCTGTCTCAGCTAGCCCAGAGTTTGACTAAGATTCTGCTAGAGGTGTGTAGGTGATGTTGAAGACATATGGAGAAAATAGTACAGGTCAGACTTAGTACCTTAAAAGCACATAACTGGATTGTGGATGGAGGGTGCTTTTGTGTGAGGAGGGGTAGGTGTGGGTATGTATTTGTGTGGTGGACATGTGTGGAAGCCAGAGGTCAATCCTGGATGTCATTCCTCAGGCAACATTCACATTTTTGTTTGTTTCATTTTGTAGCCCCAGGCTGGGTCTGGATCTCACCAGTTAGGTCAGGATGGCTACCAGGCCCCAGGGACCTACCTGTCTCTGCCTTCTCTTTTGTGTGTTCTGAGGATTGGACCCAGGTCCTCATGTTGCTTTGTGAGCACCTGACTAAGTCATCTCCCCAGCCCCTGGAGGGTAGTTTTCTGAGGGAAGAAAGTGGTTTTAACGGTTTCTGTGTGGCTTGGGCAAGTCACTCCACCTCTGTGGGCCTCATATCCTTACCAGTAAAATGAAGCTGGCTGCCCCTCACAAGACAAGGATGTCAGCACTCTTAAAAAGGTTGAATCCAGAGCTGGAGAGATGGCTCAGCAGTTATGAACACTGGCTGTTCTTGCAGAAGACCTGGGTTTGAATCCCAGCACCCACATGGCAGCTAACAACTCTCCGTAACTCCAGTTCCAGGGGATCCAACAGCCTCTTCTGACCTTTAAGGGCATTGCATGACACGTGTGTACTTACCTACATACAGGCGATACATACACATAAAATAAAAATATTTTTTTTAAAAAAGGGTTGAATCCGACTGCTTGTGGTGGTGCAGGCCTTTAATCCCAGCACTCTGGAGGCAGAGGCAGGTGGATCCCTGTGAGTTCCAGGCCAGCAGGGACTACAGGAAGACCCTGTCTCAAAAAACAAAAAGAGGGGTTGAATTCCCCTGAGCTAGGAGGGCAACAGGATTCTGTGAGATTAATTGGCATAAGGTGAAGGTTGGGGTACAGTGTGAAAGGGAAGGTGGGAGAACCTTGAAAAGCAGAAAAGAGGAGTCAATGTGTAGAAAAAGTGTGTCCCCAGTAGAAAGGTGGCAGAGACAACTGGCCAGAGGGCACTCTTGTGCTGTGGGAGGGGGCTAGACAGGCTAAGGCACATGCAGGTAGCAGTAGAGAGCCACTGAGGCTCTGTCCCTGTGAGTGGGTTAGGACACAGAAGCATCTTTGAATACAGGCAGGATTTTCTAATTGCTTGTACATGGTGGAGAAAAGAAAAGGTTGAGACAAGGAAGTGATAAGGCACCAATGAAGACAGCACTGTGTATGTCCACATCTGAGTTCCTGCACATATATTTTAACTGGTGGAGAGTGGCGCTCTGGGCACGTATGTGACACTGCATCATGAACTTAGTGATGGATCTGCGAACAATGTGGCTGCATATCCACAGTGGAACTGATTGGCTTCACAGAGCTTTCTCTTTTGCAGGTTGTTCCTCCAAATTCCCTCTGCATCCTTTCCCATGGCTACCCCTCCTGAAGGGGGAGTTCCACTTCTAAGGCAATCAAAGTGGGCTTTTTTGTTTTTGTTTTTTGCCTTTTTTGAGACAGGGTCTCCTTGTAGCCCCAGCTGTCCTGGAACTCACCATGTAGACCAGGCTGGCCTCAAAACAAAGATCTGCCTGCCTCTGCCTCCCAAGTGCTGGGATTAAAGGCGTGTGCCACCATGCCCAGCATGCAATGAAAGCTTTTAATGCCTTAAAATTAGACTTAGGTGTACTGTCTAAAAAAATTTAGAGCAAATACACAGTGCCAAAATAAAAAATCTAAAATGGAAATAGTGGTGCATGCCTATAATCCCAGCACTTGGGAGGTGGAGGCAGGAAAATCAGGAGTTCAAGGCCAGCTTCAACTACATAGCAAGTTTGAGGCCAGCCTTAAACCATTTCAAAAGAAGGAGAAGACCCAAAACACTAATAGTACAAAACAAATGCAATTAAAAAGAAAATAAAAATCTACCCTCCTGACCCAGTGATCCCTGACAGTTTCTGTATCTTTTCAAATACTCTATGCAGATACAGTATATAGCTAATTAAAACTGGTAATACTGTTACATCCTGTTCAGCATATTGGTTACAATTTAATATTTGGGATTAGGAAATATATCCAAGTAGTACAGAAGATCCCAAGATCACCACAGAAGTTTAACAAATTTTTACCATTTTGTACAGATGCAAAATGTACACTCTGGGTTGGTGGTGGCTGGAGTCCAGTTGCTACACACCTTTTAGACATGCCCCAGCTCTGGGATGTTTTAAGGTATTGCTGATGGTTCTCTGTTTATATAATCGATGCAGAGCTGATACCCCACTTTGCATGTATGCAAAGGAGAACGAGACTCGGCTTGGGTTCAGATCCCTGCTCCTTCATTCATCCCAGCTGTGTTGATCCTCACTTTCCTCTCCTGCAAAATGGACTGGATGACATAATCCCTAGACTCATGGAATGGGTTAGAAAACTACAGTACAGAAACTTCACTAGTGGGGGGGGGGGCGCTGGAGAGATGGCTCAGCGGTTAAGGGCACTAGCTGCTCTTGCAAAAGACCCGGGTTCGACTCTCAGCACTCAGATGGCAACTAACAACCATCCTCAACTCCAGTTCCAGGGGGGATCCGACTCTCTTCTGACCTCTTTGGGCGTTGCACCATACGGGTGCACATACGTACAAAATTTAAATAAACAGAAACTTCATTAGGCCTTATTCCCCAGAACAGGACGGTTCCTGCAAGCTCCCCGGTGATCAGCTAAGAACTAAAGAGCTGACCACCCCACCCGCAGCCTAGAAGTACATCTATTCCCGCCCCTTTCCCTTGGCCACGCTGAAGGCGGGGTAGTTAAATGTTTCTGTAACGTCAGCATGCGCAAGACCAATCCCCGTGCCTGGAAGCCGTTAGCTCGTTTGCATGGGTCGCCAATCATTGGCCTGTTGGGTCATCTGGGCCGTCCCAGTTTTTTAAAGGCGCCGCACAACCTAATACAAGCAAAGAAGAGGGGTGCTGGGACTATGATGTCATCGCAGCGCTGCAGGTCTTGGAAGTGACGTCATCTCCGGGAAGCTTGCAGGGCCGGAGTTGTGAGGGCCGAGCTACCCACCTCAGCGGCTTAAGAGGCTGCCCTGGCCCCTCAGTCTCCCGGGACAGGTCCCCGGGAAGGCTACCATGACACGGTAAGTCTGCGCGGCCCACAGCTTAGCCCGCTGCCCCCGCAGGGACATAGCCCGGAAGGCACGGAGAGACCGCGGCTGGCGGGAGACCACCCGGGGTCCCCTCCTGGGTCCGTGCGCGGCGACTTTAGTGCGAGGTGGGGGCGGGGAGTTTTTTTTTTTTTTTTTTTTAACGTCTTTTAAGATGGCGGCCCGATAGTCACGTGCCACCGCAGGACGTGATTGGCTGTCAGCGTGGGGCAGGGCCTCCAGCACGGGGCGGGGCCGCCGCAGGCGTCTGCCCTGCTACTGTTTGCTCAAGCTTCCCGGCGCGCCCCCGCGAGGCCCCTCCGACCGGTGCGCGCTCCCGCTGCCTCGAATGTTGTGAATCAAATGTGGGGTTTGTTCCATTCCGCCGCCACGGACAGTTCTTAAAGGGCCCGCCGGGCTGCGGTGTGCGTACAGCTGCGTCCTGCTCCCGGGCCTGGGCCGGGGGACCGACTGCGGGCAGCCCCGCTAGGCGGACCACAAAGAGGGCTCCGGAAGGAGCCGGCCGGAGCAGGGTGGGAGGGAGCAATTGTTCCGCAGGGCGGGGACTCCTACAGGGTCCAGGCATCCCCCGCACCCCTTCCCATCTCAGCATCCGAGACCGCGAACAAAAGAGTCCGCGTGTGGTCCGGCGGCCGAAGGTGAGTCGGGCCAAGACCCTAACTTGGGGTTTCCGCACCCGGGAAACTCCTGTTCCTCCCTCCGGGAACGGAGGCAGTTGGCTTTGCAGGCGTTGGTCTGGGGTAGTCACGACTGGGGGCGGTGAGACCCCTGGGACCAGCCCCCCAGCGACTCCCAGCTCCGGCGGCCTGAGGTCGCCCCTCCGGAGGTTCAGCGCTGCGGTTTGAGGAAGGAGCCGCCCCCTCCCCCGGCAGCCGCCACTTCCTTTGTTGTTGCTTTTGTCTCACGCCGAGCACATGGTCCGGGATCCTCGGCTCTTAAAGTCACAGCGCTCTAGCCCTGTCGCTGCATCCTGGCCTCCTTTCCCCCGTGTTCCTCCGAGCGCGGCACAAAAGAGCAAGAGGGGGGAGCCTACCCAGCCATTTTTGGGACAGGTGTGCGAGTATGGGCTTCATCCCCCGGGGGGGGGCTGGCTTTGGAAGATTTCTAGAACCCCACTACCTGCGTCTGGCCTGCTTTAGGGAGGAGCCTGTTCCTCGGGGATTCTGGTGTCCTCCCCCCACTAATGTGAACACCTGGTTTCTTGCTTGTCTCCTCTAGCTTTTTAGGGGCGCCCTGGGGAGAAGAGATTTTAATCCTCGTTTTACATTTGTTGCAAGAGAGGCGTGACAGAAACTAAAGTATTTCTTTGACCAAGGTCACCCAGGAAGTCAAGCTGGCTAAGGTGTGGTGGTCCCTCCACCTCTTCCTTGGCCTTAACTGCGAGGTTGGAAGCTTCTGTTTAGAGTGGGGGGTTGGGCGAGCAGTTAGGGTTGGGGAGCTTGTCTTCCCACCTGAGCCTGCTCTTGGTGTGGCTTTGCTCCACAAAAGGGAATGTGTCTTCCAGCAAACACACCCAGGCCAGATGATGGAAGGGGCTTCCTAGGGTTAAGAATAAGTGCTTGGGACACTATTTGAGAGTTGGTTGATCGGCTGTAGACCGATGAGGGTAAGATTGTACCAAGGGGAGTTTACACAAACTTCACTAAGCACTGTTGCAGGGGGTGGAAAAGCGGCGTATTGCTTGACCTTGAGCTTGTGGCATGCTTGGTCTAACTCAGTCTCACCGCTACACGACATAGCAAGTTACTTTGCTGCTTGGAAGAGAAGCTCTCATACCTGCTGTGTGGCTGAGAGGGGGCTGGGATTAGCTGGTTCTTTGGTCACTGACATGATTGAAAGGGCGATGGCTTTGGGGAGCCTGGGCCTAGGGAAAGAGGCAGGACCCATTCTGTTGGTTTGTGGCGTTCAGCAACTCTTATTTCTCTCGGGCTCGGGTTTGTCCATTGAAGTGGGTGTGTCCTCGCTTTACCACTTTTGTTCCTGTTAGATTTTAAAGAGCCAGAAGCAGCTCCTTTCCAGCCTGGTGTGCACAGCTAGGACAGCCTGCTTTCTTCAGCTCTTGGAGAATTGGTACCTCTTTCTGTTTGGGGTTGGAATGCAGGTCAGCCTGTCTTTTTCCAGTAATGATTATTCACACCACAACTGGCATTCAGCTTTATAGGTGGCTTCTGCTGTTAACTTTTGGAGTAGCCCCCCGATAGTGCCCTGGGGGATCATTCTTAGGTTACCATTTTACAGAGGAGTCTGAGGCTCAGAAAGGAAGCCATTCACTTAAGACTGGTCAGAAGTTGGGGTATTGGCTGGGTTTTTTTGGTCTTTTTGAGACAGGGTCTCCCTGTAGCCCCAGTTGTCCTGGAACTCACTATGTGGATCAGGCTGGCCTTGAACTCAAAAGAGATCTGCCTGCCTCTGCCTCTTGAGTGCTACCAGGCCCGGCATGGTTTTTTTAGAGAGTGTGGATGTCACTTTTGGCCTCATCACCCACAACTAGAGGCCCTTCTGTCTGCTGTTTGTAGAGGCCACACATCTTGTTTCAGTTTTGAGGGGTTTACTCTGACTCTCCCCCAGCCCTCCTTGCCTTGGAAGCAGGAAATGGGGTCTGTGTGTCAGAGTGTACCCTTGGCCACTGCCAGGGATCAGTCTGCCCTCCAAGGCAGAGGGTGGACCAGGGTGCCCTGGAGAGGAAATGCATGTTCTAAGTGAGGATGAGCTGAAGTGAGGCCAGTGGGACCAGAGTCTCCAGTGTGTCTGTCCCATCCTGGCTCCACTGCCCCCTTTTTGCCTCCCTCTAGAGGCCAGGGACTTGGGGAGGTTAATTGATTTTCTTGTAATCTTCCAGTTTTTAATCACCTGTCTTCACTTCCAGACTATGCACTTTACACACCTGTGTGATGGGCTTTCTTCAGTGCACCCTCCCCTTGCTGAGTTTCTGAGTCCCTCAGCAAAAGAAGTGTGAATTCCCGCTGGCACACTCTGGCCTGTAGTCTTGTCCAGGCACCATCGTGTAAAGTGGAAGGCTTTCTCCTGTGCAGACAATCAGGGCCCAAGCTTGGAGAGTCCTGCATAGAGAAAGGGCTGTTCGCATTCTTGCTGTTGGCAGGAATGAAATGACTGAGGGGCTAAACCGACGTTACAGCCCTTACCAGCAGGCATGTATAGGTTAGCTGAGAAAGGGTAGGAGGGCCTCCTTGTGGCAGTGACTGCACAGGGCAGCCCCAAGATAATATACCCTTCAATGCTCCAGGGCCAGGTGGGTTCTGGAGTGTTCTCTGCCAAGGTTTATTCTCACTCTGGAGTTAACGGATGAAAGCTTGGAGTTGAATCCCACTTGCCCTTCTGTACCCTCACTCCGACTCTGAGGAGACCCTCCCCTTGGCCATTCCTGTTCAGTTTCCTCTCTTAGATTCATTCATTCTTTAAATTTTTATTTTATTTATTTATTTTTTTTTTAATTTTATTTTATTTGTCTGAGACAAATAAATTCCAGCTGTCCTGGAATTCACAATGTAGACCAGGCTGGCCTCGAACTCACAAAGATCCGCCTACCTCTGCCTCCCAAGTGCTGGAATTAAAGGCGTGTGCCACCACGCCCGGCTATTTTATTTTATTTTATTTTATTTTAGATTCATTCATTTTTGTTCAGCAGGCCCCACCTCCCACTTTGAAGGCTGTGTTGGGGGTCCCAGAACAAGGACCTGGCTGTATGCCAGGCCCAGCAAGCTATGAGTGGCAGCTAACTTCCCCATCCCTGTGAGGCCTTGAGGTGACCTCTGTCAGCAGCAGGGTACAGGGACAGGCTTGTTGCCCCATTTCCTAGTTTTGACACTTAACACAGGGTGTAGGGTAGCATGTCTCTTCTGAGTGAGTGTGCTAAAAGCTTTCCTTAATTAATAGAATAATCGTGTCTTACCTTGGATGGAAAGGCCCCAAGGGTGGGAAGCAGGGCAGAATGTCTTACCTGGCACTAAGAGGAGAGTTGGGTCCCAGGCCTCTTAGGAAGTCTTCCTCAGCCAACCATGTGAAAGGTGAAAGGGAGACTCTTGAACACCCACCCCCATACCAGGACAGTACCCTAGAGCACCATCCGGCCTAGGCCTTGCTTGAATCTGCTGGCCCAGAAGCATGCTGGCCATGTCTCTGAACTTGCCATGTTCTAAAGGAATTTCATCCCATGTCACATAGGTGAAAGCTAAGGCTGAGCCTGTCTCTGGTTAGAAATGGATCCCAGGGCCCAGAGGCAGGTCTGCCTGGGTTTCATCAATCTCCTTGACCCCTAATTGTGTAATCAACTGGATTTTTCCATGTCTCAGTTTCTTTATCTACTTGCTTCCTAGGGTTTTGAGCCCTGGCCCAGCCCCTCCACCCCTCTGCCCCCCTGATGTGACCATGGGCTTTGGCAGTGACTAAGTGGCCACCCTCTACCCTTGTGGGTCAGTAGTAATTCTCTACAGGACGTAGCAGCACTCCAGGCCAGCTCTGGGGAAGGTAAGAAGAGTCTCCCGTTCCTGGTTCTGAGGCAGCCAGCTTGGCTGGGGCATAGGGGTCAAGGGATAGACCCAAGGCCCTGAGCGATCTTGGCTTCCCTAGTGTGGATCATGACCTTCACTTCAATCCCTGATTTGTAAATGATTGATGCCCCCTCAGTCCTATTGGGGCTCCTCTCTTGTGCAGCCTTGGCTGTGACGGCCCTCTGGCCAGCTCCTTACCCCCTCAGCAGCTGCTGCCCTGACCATCACACCTCTGAAGAGGAGCACCAGGCCTCAGCTCCTGCCGGCAGGAGCACCCGAATGCTGCACCCAGCCACCCAGCAGAGCCCGTTCATGGTTGATCTCCACGAGCAGGTAGGCAGAAGAGCTTCCATTCCTTTCCTGCCCCTAACATCTGCCAAGCTAACCTGAGAAGCAAAGTAGCAAAGTGATTTATTCATCAAATATTAGTCCTAAATTACAGGAAGGTAAACTGAGGTCCAGAGAAGGGGAGGGTCTTCCCTGGGATACTCCCCCATAAAGAAGACAAATTAGATCTGTACCTCATTGAGTACTCAGCTTGAGAAAGGAGAGGAGTTAATTATGACAGGACTTTTCTCTATAGATACTCCTCATGGCCAGGCTTCCTCCCTACAGTTCCTTGGCTCTCTCTTGACTCACAGGTGCACCAGGGACCTGTCCCTTTGTCCTACACAGTCACCACGGTCACCACCCAAGGCTTCCCCTTGCCTACAGGCCAACATATCCCTGGCTGCAGTGCCCAGCAGCTCCCAGCATGCTCCGTGATGTTCAGTGGGCAACACTACCCCCTCTGCTGCCTTCCACCCCCGGTAAGTGAGTACTTTCTTCTGACCCTGTCCCAGATAGATGCCACATCGTCCATCACAGCAGGCATGAGCACAGGGACCCTTAGGAGCTGGCTTAGCATGCCTGTACAGGGTGCTTTTGTGCTCCCTTGGCCTTCTGTCCATGGCCCTTCCCAGAATAGCACATGTGTGTTCACATGTAGGTGCAAGGAATTCTGGAGGTGGGGGACCTTTCTCTACTGCAGTGCCTGTCTCACACATGTGCCAAGGCACTGCAGTGGAGGCTGTAGGTGTTAAAGGTGGTGATATCCTGCTGGTTTGGGGGTGGGAGTGGCTAGCAGGCATGGGGCTTGTAGCACTGCAGTAGCCCTGGGTTTGTGTGTGCAGTGAAGACATTTAGCTGGTGGAGTGTCCCCTGGCCTTCATTGAAACTGTAGGCCCCACCCTGGGAGTGAGAAGAACCTTGTACAGCCCCCTTTGTCCTCTCTCAGCAGCTGATCCAGGCCTGTACCATGCAGCAGCTCCCTGTACCCTATCACACCTACCCCCACCTCATCTCCAATGACCACTACATCTTGCACCCTCCACCACCGGCCCCACCGCCCCAGCCTGCCCACATGGCACCCCTTGGGCAGTTTGTATCCCTGCAGACCCAGCATCCACGTATGGTGAGTTCAGGGAATTGATATGCTAGAGGGGGAAGAGTGAGGACTTGCTTATAACAAACTGACTGACCCACCCCTTTCCTCTTACAGCCCCTGCAGCGGCTGGAAAACGATATGGACCTTCGAGGGGACCAACACCCCTTAGGTAGCTTCACTTACTCCACGTCTGCTGCTGGTCCAGCCTTGTCCCCCTCAATACCCCTTCACTACCTACCCCATGACCCATTGCACCAGGAGCTGTCCTTTGGTGTGGTAAGTGCTGCCCCATACCCCACCCAGGCTTCGGGGTATTGAGAGGCAAGCCTCTGAGGTGACCTGCTCCCGGGCCCCCTTTTGCAGCCGTACTCTCACATGATGCCACGAAGACTGAGTACACAGAGATACCGCCTGCAACAGCCGCTGCCGCCGCCGCCACCACCCCCACCTCCACCATCTTACTACCCCAGCTTCCTACCCTACTTCCTGTAAGTACCAGCCTATCTGCCCAGAGCCATGGTGCCTTATTATTTCAGGGACTTCTAGTGCTTAATCCAGACACAGCTCCAGGGGCCCCAGACCCCTCAAAGCCATCTGGCATCTTCCACCAAGCCACACAACCTCTGACACCATGGGCCAAACACCAGAGTCCTCACTCTGCTCTGGACGTTTTTTGCATAGAGGGAGGGAGAGGAGTGCTTTGTACCATCTGCTTCTACTGACTCACACTCTGGGACCCCATCTCTGCCCTCTAGCTCAATGCTGCCAATGTCACCAACAACCATGGGACCTACCATCAGCCTGGATCTCGATGTGGATGATGTGGAGATGGAGAATTATGAGGTCTTGTGGCTCCGAGCTGGGAGGTGGGGCTCGGGAGACCTCTGTGTGCCACTAACCCATCTTTCCTGCCTGATTAGGCCCTCCTGAACCTGGCTGAGCGGCTGGGAGATGCCAAGCCCCGAGGCCTCACCAAAGCAGACATAGAGCAACTGCCGTCATATCGTTTCAACCCTGACAGTCATCAGTCTGAGCAGACACTGTGAGTGGCATGCCTCCTGACCCCACACTACTGGCTGTACTGACACCCTGAAGGGTACTCAGCCGTTAGTGTGGGAGTGACACTCTGTCCCTCTCCAGGTGTGTGGTCTGCTTCAGTGACTTTGAGGTGCGGCAGCTGCTCCGAGTCCTCCCCTGCAACCATGAGTTCCATGCCAAGTGTGTTGACAAATGGTTGAAGGTAAAGTGACCTAAGCCAATTTGTGTGTATTCCTCCTGTGGGGAAGAGTAGACAAGTGTGGAAAGTTTGTCCAAGTCCCTACCAGGTAGCAGAACAGAAATAAATAGGTGGGAGTGGGGCAGGAGAGATGACACTTGACATGTGACTCTTCCCACTAGGCCAACCGGACCTGTCCCATTTGCCGGGCTGATGCCTCCGAGGTACCCAGGGAGGCTGAGTGAGGCTCCACAGCCACCCACAAGAACCCTGCCCAAAGCTCTGGAAACTGTGGGGAGGAGACAGGGTGGGGCCCATGGAGGACCTGGAGGAAGGAACCCAGACCTGTCTCAGACTTCCCACCTGCAACTCCAGAGCTGGAGCCCAGGGTTAGCCCTGGAGAAGCCCCTGCAATAAGCCCCTGCATTTGCCAAGCTCCAAAGACTCTTTCTTTCCCCAATCTGCCTGCCTGCCTGCCTGTCCGCCATGGAGCTGCCTGGGTATCCCCAACTCAGTCTGCCACAACTCAGTCTGCCACCCATTTGCTCTTGGGTCCTTCCTGTTGCTCCTGTGTGGTGGCTGGTGTGATCCCTGTCCCCAGGACAGATGGACAAAGGAGTGGCCACTCGGTCATCTGGTCTCCTGTACTGAAATGATGTACCCATTGCCCAGGTGATACTGCCACATCTGTGAGCGATTAGTAGCAGGAAGCTGTTTCCTAAGTCCTAGGGCTGAGTCCTCCTGTTTGACTCCAGACAGACTTAGGCAGCCAGCTCTACCTAGGCTGCTGTGCAGTGAGAGTCTGGCTCCCCAGGACCCTCACCCCAGGGACAGTACTCCAGCCCACACTCAGGCTGGAGGACATCCCAGCCAGGCCCCTTGAGCAAATGGGATGGAGGCTCCAAGTTGGATGTATGTGTTTTACGGGGGTCTGAGCCATGTTGGGCAGAGCGAGTGAGTCCCTGTGTTCCTGGTGGCTGCCCCTCTGCCAGTGAGTGTCAGACCCATGCTTGAACTACTACCCCTCTGTCGTTTTGCATGAATGTGAGGAACAGCAGTTTTTGTTTATTCATTTGGCCCAAAGTTGTGTGTAGGATTTGGGGGTGTGGATATTTAAGAGTTTCCTTTTTTTTTCGGTTTAATGGGCATGGGGTGGGGGCATAGGGACCAACCAGGACCAATGCCCAGGGGGCAGAGAAGGGTCAAGTTGTACAACCAGTCCTCATACCAGTGTGTGACCGAGATTGCACTGGGTGACTGGAGGTCACGGGGCAGGGTTGGGGGCTCTGTGCTAAGCTGATAACTGCCATGCACTGTACCGCACATGTCCCTAGAGCCTACTGGGACCGTTCGCTTTTCAGGGCATTTCTTCCTCTCCAGCCAGGGCCTATCTCCCACCTGCCTGGGTGAATCTCCTCCAAGGTCTGGAGGAGGCCCCTGTAAGGATCTGGCTGAGTTCCCCACTCCCCTTCAGGTCCCATTCCTTTCCTGCCCCAGCTGGGGTTGCCACCATGAGACGAACTGCGTGTGGGGCCGGCACATCCTAGCAGGCAGCCATTGGCGCCTGCTGCCTCAGGGATGCTCCAACCACCCTCGTTCTCCTGCAGCAGCCCTGGCTCCCTGCCCCCACCCCACCCTGCCAGAGGGCCCATTGGCCTGGTCCCACCCCACAAGAACCCAAAGTCTTACTGTATATAACTCCAGGTGATGTTTCTATATTTATAGCAGTGTTGAAAACCCATGTGTTTTACACAAAAAACCACCTTCTCCAGCCCCGGTCTCTTCCTCACCCCAGTGAAAGGTTTTCAAACCCTTGCGATTTCTGGGGCAGCAGAATCGGCTTATGGATTGTGTCGGCTGCAGCAATGATTCCAGCAAGCAGCTATTGGGGAAGTACACTTTTTTTTTAAGAAAAAAAAAATCATTAAAAAAAGATTTATGAGACAATTATTAAGGATGTTTGTGATTTGCCGAGCTTGCTATAGATGCCATGTTACCAATGATTTCCTGTGGTGGGGGCTTGGCATTGTTTACTCTTTTATTTACCAACTTCTGGCCTAGGCATGACAGTGGGCACCTTCCCCCAGCACTGGCTGGGCCCAGCGCCTGTGTTCTGTGTTAAAAAGGTTATATATATATATAATTACATATATATATATATATATATACATATATATATAAATGTAATTTGGGGGGCCCTGTTCCTTGCACATTTTACAGTTACCTCATTTTTCCCATGTGTGTATTTGAGAAAATGCTAATATATAGAGAAAAAAATGGTTCTTAAAGCTTAAATGTGTGGTTTTTTCCATTCCATTGGATTCGCATTGGTTTGTAGCATTTAACATAACTAGTATGTTGTATTATATATGTGTATACTGATTGAAATTTTTAACAGATTTGTACTTTTTTTAAAATGAAAGTTGCTAGTTCTGCTTGACCAAGTAGTGCAATCATTATTTTTTTTAATATTGTTGCTGATTTCAGAGGGATATTCACTAATAAATGTATGATGTATACCAAGTACTGCCCAAGCTGCCTTTGGTTGCTCCTGTTCTTTCCATAAGAAGCGGGGAGTAGGAATAGTAGCTGGCTGGGGCCAGGAAGAGCTGGCAATGAGATGGGTGCTCTGGAACCATGGAGTTTGTCAGCACCCTCTTGGCAGACTGCCATGAGAAATCAGATTCTGTTGGCAAGGTACGAGATTGCATCTAATGGGTTTGAGGAGAGACATCCTTTACTAGTCCTGACTTCTAAATTATCTTTTGAAATGCTCTCATGTAGTCCAGGCTGGCCTCAAACTTGGTATGTAGCAGAACTCCTTATCCATCTACCTCCACTTCCCAAGTGCTTGTTTTTTGTGATTTTTTTGTTGTTGTTGTTGTTGCAGGGGGTGGGGGTGTTGAGATGGGCTCTTGATGTGTAACCTAGGGTTGGCCTTGAACTTGCAGGGGTTCTCCCTGCCTCCCAAGTGCTGGGATTATAGGTGTGTGCAATCAGGCCCAGCTCTGACATTGAGAGGTAGTGGGCAGGAGTGTAGCTCAGTGGTAGAGTGTGTGTCCTCAGCTCATCTAAAAAACAAATCCTGAGATGAGTTCTGTTTCCAGTGGGTCAGGGGAACCTGGGCCTGACATAAGGAACAAGGTCTTCAACTTTGGCCTTCCTCCAAGAGAAAACCATTTCCCCCCAGGAATTCCTATGGAATTTCTGGGATTCAATCATTGGACCAACCTTGCTTGGGGCCAAACTTTAGCCAGTGTCTGTCAGGTGCTTCAACAGTGTAACTGGCCAGGCCCCATCCCCATTGAAGCCATAAACTTGCACTCCTCACCTCCTGCCTCCTGCCACCAAGGGGGTGTATGTCTCTCCATAGTGGCAATCCGGTGCTGCAGGAATGCTGGAGTGAGCATGTCAGACAACGTGCTCTGCAGGAGCAATAAATTGGCATCAAGATACTTGAGGCCTTTGTGGTACCACTGTCCAGAGCTGTGGTCAGACATTTCTGTCAGTCTTTGGGGTCATTTGCAAGTTGGGGAAACAGGATCAGTTGAGTTGTCCCCAAAATGTGTTTCAGGAAAAGGCCCAATTGGAAGCATCATGGTTGAGGGTTGGGGCTCTTTGGTCAAGGAAATCAGTCTATCAATCAAGGTGACAGTCTGTCTTCCAGGGCTTCCCTAGGCCTTGTGCCAATGTGCACCATAAAACTTTTGAGTGACTTCCTAGAGCTTCATGTCCTATATGTGGTTTGGCTCAGATTACACATCTGCAGCACAGTGGGACCCAATAAATTCAGGATTTGCAAAAAAGATCCCAGCACTTGGAGGCAGAGGCAGGCAAATCTCTGAGTTAGAGGCCAGCCTGGTCTATCTAGTGTGTTCCAGGACAGCTGGGGCTACAGAGAGACCCTGTCTCAGAAAGGTAAAAAACAAAACAACAAAAAATCACTGAGTTCAGGTCACAGGATACAAGATTAACATAAATAATTGTGTGGCTGAGTGGGGTGGCTCATGCTTATAGTCCTAGCTACTTTAGGGCAAGACAGAAAGAGCTCCAGGAATTAGGGGCCAGCCCCAGCAAGACCTAGAGACACATCTCAGAAAGAATAGGGATGGATAGAAGGGAGAAAAAATTGTGTTTATAAGCTAGCAGACAGGGTCTCATGTATCCTTGGCTGGTAGATAACTTATTAGATAGCTGAGAATGCGTAAGATAGTGCTGCTTCTGATCTTCCTGCCTCCACCCACCAAGTGCTGGGCTTCTAGGCATGTGCCACCACCACAATTGGTCTATGTAGTTTTTCAAGGTGGGCAGGTACTCTCAACCAGACTGAACACATGAAAAAGTTGGAAACCACTATTTCTAATCAATTAAAAATGAATATTAAGGTATAAATCTACAAGACATGCACAAGATTTACATGCTAAAAATTATAAATGCTGATATATGGGCAAGTGTAGCCACACAAACCACACACATATCATACAACACAAACAGCATACACAGTGCACACCACACATCACATACACACTACACAAAAAATCAGATCCAAATCAATAGAGATTTCTTGGATTGAAATAGCATAAGAAAGATGCGTAAGATAGTGCTGCTCCTCCAATTGATCTGTGTTAGTGAAACTGTTAGCCAAATTTTAGGAAAGTTTTTGGGTATGAAGAAACAAAGGACCTAGAGAATAGCTAAAACAACTTGATAAAACAAGAATAAAATGGGAAGTCTTAATGTACCAAATAGTAACACAACTATATATATATATATATATATATGGCTGTATCAGGTGAAGGTGCTTGCTGCCAAGCCTCAGGATCTGAGTTTGATCCCCAGGACCCACATGGTGGAAGCAGAAAACTGAGTTGTCTTCTGGCCTCTACATGAGGGCCATGGCATGTTCCAGTGCACACATGCAAATAATAAAAAGGCAATCTGATTACTACAGATTAAGGGACAGAATAAAGAACCTAAAAGTCAGCCATATAAGCACAATTTATTTTACTAACAATTATATCCCACTGTTGGTACAAAAACACAATGGATCATAGATTTAAAGGTAAACACAAAACTTGAATACTTAGAAATTGGTAGAAACCTCCAGGATTTAAGGCTAGGTAACAGGTCTTAGCTCTTAACCAAAATTAGCCTATAAAAGAAATAAAAAATTGGACCTCAACAGGATGAAAAATGATCATTTGCAAACCACATATCTGACAAAGGGCTTATATTTCAGATATATAAAATACAATAGTTAAGATGGTTGTGGTGGTGCACACCTTTAATCCCAGCAGTCAGGAGGCAGAGACAGGTGACTGTGAGATCGGGGCCAGCCTGGTCTACATAGCGAGTTCCAGGCCAGCTGAGGCTACAGGAAGACCCTGTTTAAAAAAAAAAAAAAAAAAAAAAAAACCCCACAATAGTTGAACATAGAATTATCAAAAGGGCTACTTCATGTCCTTATGAAAAGATGGTGGAAGACTTCTGCCATCAGGGAAATGTAAATGAAACCACAATGAAATACCGCATTTACAAAGCAATTAAAATAACTGAGCCGGCCAGCCTGATGTACATAGTGACTTTCAGGCCAGCTATGGCTACGGAGAGACGCTGTCTCAAAAAGATCAAACAATAAAATTAAATAAAAATTAAGGGGCTGGAGAGATGGCTCAGCGGTTAAGAACACTGGTTGTTCTTGCAGAAGACCTGGGTTCAAATCCCAGCACCCACATGACAGCTAACAACTGTCTGTAACTCCAGTTCCAGGGGATCCGACGGCCTCTTCTGTCCTCCACGGGCATTGCACAACACGGGTGCACTTACCTACATGTAGGCAATATACTCATACACATAAAATAAAAATAAATAAAATATTAAAAAAATAAAATGGCTATCAAATTCTGGGGAGAATGCAAAGAAACTGGATTTCTCATATATTGCTAGGGGAATGTAAAATGTACTCTAGAGCATAGATCGGCCATTTCTTTTAAAAAAATTGTAATTTTATGTGCATGAGTGTTTTGCCTGCATGTATGCAAGTGCACTCATGTTGTGCAGTACCCTCAGAGGTCAGAAGAGGATGTCGAATCCCCTGGGACTGGAGTTACAGAAAGTTGTCAGCCACCATATGGATGCTGGAAACAACCCAGGTCCTCTACAAGAGCAGCCAGTGCTCTTAACCACTGAGCCATCTCTCCAGCCCCTGGCCATTTCTTATAAAACCAGACACGAACTTACCAGATGACTCAGTAATTACAGTCTTGGACATTTATCCTAGGAAAGTGAAAGTTTATATCCAGGACTGGAGAAGTGGTTCAAGTGGAAGAGTGCTTGCCTCACGTGCGAGAAGCTCCAGCACTGCCTAAGCCAGGCGTGGTAGAGCATGCCTGTAATTCTAGCACTTGGGAAGTCGGGGCAGGAGGATAAGAAGCTCAAGGGTTACATAGTGAGTGCAAGACCAGCCTAGGATATATGAGACCCTGTCTCAAAAGGAAAAAAAAAGGTGGGTAGCTACAAAGATGCAGTTAAAAGCACTGGCTGCTCTTACGGAGGACCCAGGTTTGGTTCCTAGCACCCACATGGTGACTTAATGACCATCCATAACTCCAGTTCCAGGGGATCTAGTGATCTCTTCTGGGTTCCACAGGCATTGCATGACACAGGTGCACTTGCATACATGCAGGCAAAATACCCATACACATAAAATAAAAATAATAAAAAAAATTTTTTTTGGTCTTTTTGAGATAGGGTTTCCCTGTAGCCCCAGCTGACCTGGAACTCACTATGTAGACCAGGCTGGCCTTGAACTCACAGAGATCCTCCTGCCTCTGCCTCCCAAGTGCTGGGATTAAAGGCATGTGCCACCACACCTGGCTAAATATTTTTAAAAAGAAAAAAAAGCTATATCCACACAGAAACACAAATGAGTTGTACACAAATGAGTTGGGCTTGGTGGCATAGTCTTCAAACAGCTAAGGCATTTACCCAGGAGAGAGTTGGAAAGTTTATTTATTCTCCTCACATGCATGTGGTCCCAGATCTAGCAACTAAGGGTTTAGGATTTTCTGGGCCCCAAATAGAAGTACAGATAGGCCTTTCTATGTCATTTTATGGCTGGCACCTGGGCACTGTCTGTTCCCCATGGGCCATGTTATTTCAGGAAAAACTTCCTGAGTTTACCCACTCATAGTTTACAAAGAAGCTACCCCAACATAGGTTGGGACATCTGTCATCTTTTGATCTATAACTAGGCGAGGCTAATTGGGCTAGAATCAGTCAGATGGTCATCACAGTTTACAAAAGCAATCACCAGCAAAAGTTTACATATTTGTTAAATTTGATCTATGCTTTTTTCTTGGACCAGGTGCTTCACTGAACCATTTGGTGAACTTTCCATTTTCTGAGTTTCACATCTCTATCGGTAGTTAGTAGAAAGCATCACAGAGCTTCAAGATAATTACAGAGCAATAAAACATCACTGAGTAGTAAAGCATCACAGGGTTGCATTTTCAAGATAACTAC